AACAGATTGAGAGACAGATCACTAAAAGCCTCCAACAGCTTCGGGCCAAGCGGTGCATAACTGATGCATTGTATGACAGTCTTAGACCTTGTGGCACAAACGTTCCGAGATTTTACGGTTTGCCAAAAATCCATAAGCCCGACATCTCGCTTCGTCCTATTCTGTCAATGGTTAACTCCCCCTACCACGCAGTTTCCCAATACCTTGTAGGAATTCTTGAGCCGGTGAGAAAACAGCTTGTGCCTTACAGCCTGCGTGACAGTTTTCATTTCGTCGAGAGCATCAAGGAGGCCAAAATTAATGAGAAAGTGATACTGTCTTTTGATGTTGTCTCGCTTTTCACTAATGTTCCGCTGATCGAAACCATCGATTACGTTTGCCAGCGGATAACGAAGTTGGAAATTCAGATTTGTATACCTTGTTTGAGTTGAAAAACTAATTGCTGCGGTGCACATGGAATGTGCACTTTCCATTTAATGGTAAATTTTACCGGCAAAAGGATGGTGTAGCCATGGGATCCCCCCTCGGTCCATTGTTCGCAGATAAATTCATGGCCAAATTGGGGCGAACAAAATTGTAAGCAAAGATAAAATCTTTCAATTACTACCATCGTTATATGGATGATATATTTATAGTGGCGGATAAATACATAAATCTGGATGAGGTTCTCAATCGGTTTAGCCCGGGCTCACGCAGCATTGCAATTTACCTACGAGGCTAAAAATTGCAATCGATTTCTGTATCTAGATATCGTGTAAACTAGGAGGTCAGACGGCTCCATCCAGCGGAAAGTCTACAGAAAAATACGTGGATCGGTCAGTATACGAATTTTCACAGTTTCGTCCCGCTGAGATATAAGCGAAACTTAATCTACTGCCTTACCACAAGAGCACGTAGAATTTGCTCACAGGACACCCTGGATGAGGAACTAGCCTTTATAAAGAATACGCTGCTCGATAATGGCTACCCTGATAGATTTGTCTCCAAGAATTTTGAAGAAGAGCCCAAGCCGGTACCAGCTTTAACCGCGGCGAAGGAGTTATTTCTAAGAATACCTTTTTAGGGTGATGCAGCTGCCGAGCGCCTAACCAAAAGTTTTTCAGCGGTAGTCAAGTCGACATTCCCAGCTGCCAGGTTAAAGTGTACATTTGCTACTGAACCACTTGTTTGTTGATGCAATAAGTATACACTGCCATTGCTGACCTCATGTATGGTTATTTATCAGTTCAAGTGCGTCTGTGACGCTACGTACATTGGTCGAACGGCACGGCACTTGACCAAACGCGTGAAGGAGCACTGCCAGCGCTGGTTGCGTCAAGGAGGAATTGGGGCCATTAGCAGGGCCGTTTTGACCCATATTGTTGATACGGGGCACCAAGTCGATCTAAAGCGTGCCTTCAGGATAATTTACAGGGTCCCCCAGCATCAAGCAAGGGGTTTGCGCCTCCGTGCGCTCGCGACAGCTGAATCGGTTTGCATTCGGTGGTTTCAAACTTCATTATGCACGCAAAAGAAGTTGCACCATGCCTTACAGCTTCCCTGGCCAGCTAGAACGAACGATGCTGAGGTCGACTGCCACAGATCAAGCTCGGTACCATGCAATCGACCTGTCAGGTCAAAGATCAACTTTTAGCCTCCCTCACTAAACCGCTAATTAACTATGTAATTCGAGCCAATGAGTCGAGTTCAGTTTATTACTTTAATATTGTAATGGTCTGAAAAGAATCATCGAAAACAATTGTTCACTAATGGTCTCGTGTTCTTTTGACTCTAAATTGGAATTTTCAAGTTACTTAACATTGGATCAGCCGCAGTTAGCATGCCTATGCCGTGAAATGACTCAGATGCCACCCACAAGTTGTTACTCCAGATCACGGATGAATAAAACACGATGAAACTATTAAAATTAAGCAAGAAATAATTATATTTATTAGTTTATTGCGTAATTTTATTAGTTTAAATCGTGAAAAAGTAACAAAGTAACCGAAAGATACAAATGATGAATAAAAATTTAATTTCCTGCATGCGAATCTGGCTCACCAATATGTAGGACTAGTAACTACTAGTCCGAAACGGTGCGCATGGTCAAGTGTGGATATCAGAAGGCAATTGAAGTCGGACACAGCGGACTATATTCGATAAGCTGCAAAAAGACGTGGAGGGATGAAGAGAAACAGTGAGGATTATCTTCATCAAAGCTATCACAGCATTCCAGAATCCAAAGTCACATGGTCACTCCAGCATTTGAGACTCCTAACGGATAGAAATGGAGTATCACGTTTATTTTCTTGAGAAGGATTAAACAGTTTAGGAGGCAGGTACTGTTCATATCACTTGTCAACTTTTCACTCCAAGCAGTGAAAGCCCGAAAAATACTAATCTCTCTTTTTGTGAACTTCGACATCACAACTATCAATGCCCTTGTTTTCAAGATCAAAGGATAATCCTTCCAGATTAAGGCAACACGAGACAAAAAATGTAATAATGTAGGGTATTTCAAGTAAATGTTGAAACGGATCTATCCATGCAAGTCAGAACGTGTGATGCTTGGAATGGTGGACACATGTTAGTACCAGATAATTACTTGCCTATTCAACTACGGTGCAATTTGGTGTAAGACGCTCATAAGCGTTTTGCTGTTAGTTACTAAGGAAGGCAATGTGTAGGCTGAGTTAAAACGTACAGATGCAACGTCATTATCATGAGGCAATCAGAAATCTAGATATCACACAGGAGAATTATTTAAATTACAATTCTTAGCATATATATTTTTCAATACTAACCGCTGGATAATACTGAAGGAGCTCCATATTCCTGGCAGATATCATATGCAAACCCACAGTCTACCTGTTCGGTTTGGACTCACGATTCCCTTTCTAGATAGCGCATAGAGCCGTTTAAATGTGTAGTGACTTCAAGTATCATATTTAACTTATACGTTCTCTCAAAATAGGGGCGGTGAACCTAAATATACTAAGCCGTTCTTTCATAGAGTAGAATGTTGTGATGGAAGGAAAATCACAATTTAAGAACACAACTAAGAAAGTGTTTTAAACATTGCACTGTCCTTGTGGCACTTTTACAAAACAGTTTATGTCTACCCATAATTTGCGTCCAAAACCGTATTCATCAAGAGGTGATTAATTGCGCAAAATAAATCCTTGTACACTTTACCATCTAGACAAAAGTATTAGGTATAAAGAGTCAACGCGGACATTAAACGGCTCGACTATATAATGTTTATGTACGAGGTTGCGAAAAACATGTCAAACTAATTTGGCTTCAGTATTTCTCGCGTCCGTTAACTGAAGTGCCAGTACATTTCAATTACTCGTTTGTTCGCCGAGCTGCGAAATTGGTTTGCAAACGTTTCACCGTCATGCGAGACGGCATCATCAGTGCGTCGAGATATGCAGTGTAATCTCGCTGATTGAATTGTCGACCCGTGATCGGCGTGCAGGTGGCATTTCGAATGTGACGGCTTCGATCTGAGTCCCGTGATCTCTACCCATTTCCTCGTGGCGGAGGTCGCCGCTTGGGTTGTTCCTATTCAAGCGGCGTCTCATAATTTCTCTAAGTTCTCTCCGTCGGAGGGGTTGGTAAACCGGGTCAATCTCGATATGCATGTTGATCGCGTCTTGTGTTGAGAACCACGCTTCCAGGAATTCCCTTGCTCTTCTTGTTTCACCTCGTGCCAGGACTTCTGTGTTGGCCCAGTCGAAGCTGTGTTCTTTTTCATCCACGTGTGCTGAGACTAGCGAAGCTGCATAGTGTTTTTTGCATGCTCTTTTATGCTCTTGTAATCTTGTTGTTAATTTTTCTGCCTGTTTGGCCAACGTAGTCTTTTTCGCAATTTCTACAAAGTAGTCTATATACAACATTGCTTTGCTCATGAGCTTCCAGTTTCTCTTTCGGTTTCGACAGAGTTTTTCTCAGTGTAGCAGTTGGTTTGTGTGCTACGATGAAGTGATGTTGTTTGAATAGTCTTGCTGCCATTTCGGATATTTTCTTCATATAAGGTAAAACAACGCGTCTCTCCGTCGTTGGTGTAGACTGTCTGTTTGGTTTGTTGTGGTTCAGACACATTCGGATGAAGCTTCGTGGAAATCAGTTGAGTTGCAAACACTTAAATAGATGCTTCTCTTCTTGTTGCTTTGCCTCCGTGGTACTGCAGTGTGTTTGCACTCTACCAAATAGTGTCCGCACACAGCTTACTTTGTGGTATTTCGGATGGTTACTGTTAAAATTCAGAATTTGGTCCGTATGTGTCCATTTTCTGTAAACTGATGTTTGCAGCCTCCCTTCCATGGTTCTGGTTACCAAGACATCCAGGAAAAGGTTTTCCTTCTCCATTTCCATTGTAAACCGGATGTCTTCAATGGCGTTGTTCAATAGCTGCTGTGCGACTGTAACTTGATTGCGTTTGATGATCACAAAAGTGTCGTCAACATATCGGACCCACAGTTTCGGATTAATGAGTGGGAGTACATCTCCCTCCAATTTCTGCATTACCATCTCCGCGATGAGTCCCGATATAGGTGATCCCAGTACATTTGTGCATCTTAGTTCTCCTACACAAATCTGGTCAGTCTATAGTCAACAAAAGATTCGCCAACATTTCGCTTAAAGTAACTGAGTTGAATGCGAATAAGCTAAAGTGTTACCTGCACCTTTTCATTGCTGAGATTGCTCAATGTGGCTTGATGTGGTGAATTTAATGGAAATTTCTTGGTCAAAGTTTCTTATTTCTCATCCCTACACATCTGTCACATGAGCAAATGATTTTCATCATTGTTCACATTGGAATGCTTCCACGGATAACAAAGGTAGTATTTGCGTAAGATACCAAGAATGCATTCGTTTTGCACAAAACATCGGGCTGATACACACGCACACATCGGTGATGATCCATTTGCCACACGTAAAATTAGTTTCCGTAGGTATATATTTTGCTTGCCATACAAGCCTACAGACGAGAAGAGAAAATAACAGTTTATACAATGCAAACTCTTAGAAAGGCATTATGCATTATACAATTCTTTGTCGTTATCAACTCTGTCAGTAAGTGAAAATTTTACTTGTCATAACACAAATATGATGTACATTTCCTATGTAAGATCCTTCGGTATATAATTTTGACTTCCTAATATTAGTGCACAGATCCACGCCTGTTAACGCTACCAGTTTGCTTCTGCTCGTCAAATTAAGTAGGGGCTGAACTCAAAATAACTTTTCACCTTCACATCTGTGCAGTTTTAACAGTTCGCATGCCGGTAGAAAATCTTGATCTGATGGAACCAATGCTAACACAAAGAAACGGATGCTCCATTGTGAGTTTCGCAGCCTTTGCTTATGCCATCCTCACTTTTATGATCTTTTCATGGTCTATGCATACACAGCTTATTACGTAGGCACATAGCTTATTCTTCAGCTGTCGGAATGACGTAAAATTGCTTCCGTAATAAGTTAGTGGCCAATATTTTATGACAGTTGTGCATGAGTTTACATAATTCCAGTTGGAGGCGGTTGTTGTTTATCAATTACGTATCGTTGGAATGGGAGAAGGTTTCCAATAATAACGAACAAATGTTTCTTTAGATGCCAAGAACACGAGCCATTAGTTTAGCAATGTGTTTCCAACATTCATCATCACCATCCTCTGTTTACTTGCAAGTGCCAAATGATCGAGCAAATTAATGGTAATTACAAGGTGGCGTGAGTGTTATGATCAGGATCTTACACGTTAATTATGCTTTTGCATGTTAGGACTTCATTGCCTTTTTTCCTAATGCTAGTAGTCTCATTGTCAGATCCGTTCTCTGGCCGATATAGCTGTGACGTCAGTATGGGTCGTTGGTGAAGTGCAAGATATCTACATCAAACTTATACAGATTGCTTCAGCTATGTTATTTGAATGGAGGCATATACTTGCATATAGTCGATGCAATACACTAGACATTGTTTCAGAGCCACCAGCTGATACTCCTTGGAGACAACGTCGCACAACGTGGTGCTGCTAATATTTCCGGAAGAATATTAACGTGAACAATATGAGCAGTATTCATTTGCGCAATTAGATTGATATCATGATTATGGACTATTCATTTTTCTCTATCGCAACCGGCTTTGTTTTACACAGTAAAAGAGTACGCGCTGCTTCTTATGTGTATTTAAAGCTGCAAAATCGTGGAAGTCATAACTGGGAGAACGGCTTGTTTACTGCGTGCACCTCGCGCCTCGTGACGCTGAGATTAACTGGAGCAAATGAATATAGAATGAGTGTTACGATGGACTCCGAAAAGTTTCAAAAGAAGTACGGTGAACTGGAAGGTCACGTGCTGTTATGGAAAGTGAACAAACTGCTGAATAAGAAAAAATTGGACTGTTCAACAATGGTTACGTTCGATGACGCTGAGGATAATTCAAGTAATAACCAGTTTATTTATTTAACACAATTCGTTTCCAAACTTTGGGTTTGTTATAACCCTGTGTACTTGCTTAAGATAACTGACTTTACTCGTGGACTGAAATATAAATATTTGTATCGCCCTATTGCAAGTATAACATAGATAACGGAGTGAAGATGAGTCAAGAAACAAGTTTATGATCACAACCAATGGGAATTAGGTGCGCGGATGCTTGTAAGCGAGGCTGCCTTTATATGTAACTACAACGGGCGATATGTAGTATGATAAAGGCTAGCTTCATACGCAACATGTTGTCTGACGGAAAGTAGCTAAGAAAGTTTGAACGGAAAAATTGCATTTGCCGCAAGGGAGAAACCATCAAACAAGCCAAAATAAAATCTGTTCAATGAATTACCAAGTCTTTTAAAATCCCTCCTGTTTGTATCTGTATTATCCGCCATGAGGAAACAAATGTTTGTTGCGGGACAATCATGAGCTTACACGAATACGACCGCATCAGTGATTTGGATTAGCAGCCATTGCTATTAGAAAAGTGGCTTTCGGACTAGTATTTTCACTACTTTATTGTATAAGTAATCACTGCTATTGTTTCGGTCTCAGTCTACCTTTATATTCAGTTGCGCAATAGAAGTTACTTTACGATTTACAGATATGGAAAATACAACAATCACTCCATGTGAGTTACTTTTGACATGCAGTGGATACTAAATACCAAAGGCGGTGATCAATTCTTATATACTGATATTCGCTATTACTGTAATTAATGATTTTTAGTCACTCATTCGCTAAGTAACGCACCAGATTTTACAACATTTGACAGATTCTGTACCAGTATTACTAAAGATAAACTGTGAATCCTTATGGTGCCAATCTTTTGATTTTGCCTCCTTCCAATTTATCAACTTGTTCAGCTCTCATTTTAATTGCACCGAAGTGGAGCTGTAGGTGCAAATGGGTATGTTAGAATGCATTTTCAAATGTTATCATTCCTTTGTCAACCACTTCCCAGCATTCTTAGTAGCTCTAAGTATGTAGATAAATCTGGTGCATGCAATTAAATTAACTTGTAGCCTATGTGATGGCAATATCTAAACATTTCCAACTATTTTCTTACAGCTTCAGAGAGAGAAGATGCTTTTACATACATTTGAGTTATTGGAATGTCGCGATTTGGGAGTACTACTTACCAAGTCGACAAAACTAAGTCGTCTGAGGCATTTCCAACTGATACTTGGAAAACGAAACCTTGAGAAGCTTAGGGAGAATACTCCCGCTCTTTTGGCTGAACTCAACCAGTATGGCTGCAAGTACCTCGGCTTTTGGTCATCGGTTGCAAGTAATTCGTGTACGAAAGGCAGATCTATGGCACTCGATTAGAACATTCTAAGTTAAACCCAGCTTTTCTAATTTATATCCACTAGTGCACATTCTAACATACCTGTAGTTAACTTTGACAAATATTACCTCTGAATAAGTGCTAAGAATAGAAGTAGGAAATTTCGAAGCAAATTTACTTAGCTATTTGTGTTCTACCGGCATAAAGCGACATTGATTTGTGTAAGTCCCATTGTCATAGGTATACAAGTTGAAGGCGACAGTCAATTGATTGTAATGGACCCGTAGCTATTACCTATAGGGAAATAAGAAGACATATTTTCAAAGATATTTAGTCATGCTAAGACCTTTAGTATGGGCCACAGAACGCTAAGGTTTATTTCGGCAAGTACTGGTTGTATACCATATATAAAATTTTAAACTAGCTATTGGCACGTAATTTAGTATGACCGTACGTTTTAAATTTTCTGTAATCTCCTGCAAATAATGTTTTTAATTCCACTTCATACAGCTTCAAATGTCCTATTTTAGTAGTTAGAGCAATTTGAGTGGTGAGTTTGGGAAGTCGTTAATTCACTTAATGAAATAACAGGAGTTCCTTCTTATTAGATTTTACCAGCTGACAGAAGCTCCTGATTAAGCTAATGCGATGCCCCGATTTTGTTGCTTTTCCTGAACCGCCTGTTTCGTGGATAAAGTCAGACAGACAGTATTAATTGCAATTGTGTTGCACGTTAAACGAAAACTCCTCTAGCTCCGTCACTCGAACCGCATCTGAAGGTGATAAAAGGTGGGTGTTATACCCTCGCAACGTTTTGACATTCTGAAAATTCCGTGTTCAGGTCACTCATCAGAGGTATAATCAAGTGACCGAACGCATCAGCCCCACAGTACCAGGCTGGGTAATTTTGCGTAACATGTGTCAGCTAGTGACGGTAACATCCTAGATTCAATAGGATTTACTTTAAAGCCATTTGATTGGCCAGCATTTTTAAGCCAATGTTGTGAAAGGTACACCTCAATATTTGTCGCACTCTGTTATCTAACATTATTTCATTAGGAATAGCAGCTCTACAGTACATCAATAATCTGGTTTGTATTCATTGCTACGCTACTTCAAGAAAGCGGTTAGTTGTCGTTAAGAATCAAATCAACTCATGTTAACTGCATTGCTGGTAGTATGACCGAAAGCATTTCTTTATATTCAGGACCAATTACCCAAGAAAATAAATGCGTAATCGATTTATACCTACGAGATTAACCACGAAAAGGAGCTAGCAAACGGAATAAAAGCAGTTTGTCCACTTAAACATTTGACTCTAAATAGACTAACGGGGTGAATATGAAACTGTAACTTACTGCACGTGTTTGAAAAGTACAGTATGTAATTTTAGAGACAAAGCAATTCATTTTATGTACAATGAGACATTGGAAACAGTTACATAGTTTTAACCACAACGTATGAAAATTGCTGAAGAATCACTTAGGGGGTACTACCCAGAAGCTAATCGTAAGAGGCGTGCCGCGTACAAAATTAAGGTGAAAAGTTAGATCATCTGGACCCAAAGCAGAGTGCCAAAACCTACAAAGGATGGAGGGCCGGTAAGCAGAAGCAGACAGCAGTATGCGTCGTGACTAACCAGAGGGGCAAGTGGTTGGCATTTACCAGCAGTTAAACAAGTGGACGGTGGGAAGATATGAACAATAAATTTCAATAACTCATAATACTGAATGTGTGAATGATTCGCCTTCACTACACTCTACGCATCGTCATCCATCGCAATGAGGCTGGATGTTAGCGTGGTGAGATGGTTTGCGTGCTTTAGAGATCTATTGAGCTATGCCGGGTGGTGCATTTTTGCACCTACAGAGCCATGATACCAGATTGGTCAATGGTTAGAGGCAAAAAAACTCAGCTTCCTGATCCTCCAGCTTGGGGGTTAGAATAACGGTGGCTCCTTATTCCATAAAACGGACTCGTTGTAGCCTAACGCTACCTTGCGATCTGATTTTTGTACCAAAGGCTTTGGTTGAGAACCCTATTCGTTCTCCTGTCTAGGCTTGGGCAACCTGACAGTATCCTGACCAGCCAATATTATGAATCGTTCGTCACACAATTTTTTGATGCTCATACCGTCGCAGAGGATAATAAACGGTGTCCTCTCTGCTGCATCGGGCAGAATGGATAGGGATTTGGATGTTACTGCTCAAGCCTACCCAACATCTTATTCCCCCTCTTACGCGTTTTCACTCTTACTGTTCCGTTCCAGCTTCACTATTATGCCCCCTGTTTTCATCCCCCGATTCTTGACTTTCCCCCTACTAGCTTTGATGGTCTTTTACCTTTTAGTTTCAACTCACATGTGAACGCAGAGTGTCATTCCTGCCCTGTCGATAAGCCCGTGTCCAATCAATCAGCCAAGCCCAGTTCATCAGCTTCCATCGATCAACTCTTATGTTGGCATGCCTCAATGTACGCTCTTTAATACAGGCAGCATTTGCCCGAACATTAGAGACCCTCTCGATCGATATCTGCTGCTTATCGGAGACCCGCCTGCCAGACTCGAGCTCTGTGCTCCCTTTGCGTTCCCCTTCAGGTGGCACCAGCAGTACTTTCGCATTGCGCCTAATCAGTGAAGATGCAGCTTTGAGCACCGGCCAAACCGGTGTTGGAATCGTCCTGAGTCATCGGACTGAAGCTGTTCTGGTTGATTAGATTCCAATCAGTAGCCAGATATGTGCGGTCCGATTGGCTGGCTCGTTCAAAGCTTCGAAGTCGCATGGGACTAACAGGTGTCTATTTGTCATCGCTGCCTATGCACCCACAAACTCTAGCCATGATTCGGTAAAATACGGTATCTATCGCCAAGTGCACGAGCTCCTTTGCCACAGACGAAGCTCGGACACTGTTGTTGCTGGCTGTGCATCTGAACGCACATGTTGGAAAACTATCCACTGAGGAATTGCATCTGGGCGATCAGCACGGTGTAGGCTCCCGTAATGATAATGGTGAGCAGTTAGTTCGTTTGTGTGAAGATGCTCACTTATTTCTTGCGAGCACTAATTTCTGAAATAGCACCGGCCGGACGGTGACTTGGCGCCCACCAGCATCGAACCAGCTATGGACGCAAATCGATCAGATTGCGATAAATTACCGATGGTGAGGCTGCGTCCAGAACTGTCGCTCAATTTGAAGCACATGTGTGGACACTGACCATACACTTGTATATGCTTACCTGCGGATGCTATTCGGCGGAGGTTCAAGACGACGTTGTGAGCGCACTGACACCAGTCAACTGGCGAAGCCAGCTGTTCTGAATGCCTATCAAAGTACGCTGTCATGTGAGTTGGATAAACGCTCACTGGATGCAAGTGAAGTTCACTGGTCTCATATTCACAAAACCTAACCAGCAGCAGGAAAATCCTCATGTGGTAAGTCTAATCGCCAACACGGACATTGAGTCTCTTCGCAATCTCTGGAACTTATCGATGCACGCCAGTATATTCCGACTGGAAGCGAACACATTGCAACTAGCAAAGTGCTCCGGGGGAAAGTCTGTGCTACTTTGAACAGAGTCCGCGAAGGCTGGTGGTCTCATCGTGCTTCAGAAATGGAAGTGGTCGCTGTCGTTGGTAACCATCCTAAGTTATTCCGTCTGGTACGGAAACGGGCAGCAGAAGACCTGGTGTTAGTGAAACTATACGTGACGAGAGTGGACAGCCTAACTACAACTTGTCAAAACCCTTGGAGCGTTGGGCTGAGCATGTTGAAAGGCAAGTTAATCGGTCGTAATTGTTGGATTTCTTGCCGGCCACTGATCGCCACTCTCCGTGGACTGTCCCTTTGGATCCAACTTTTCGCTCAGAAGTCGAACGTGAGATCGGACCGTTGCAGTTAAATAAAGCCGCGGCACCAGAGGGTCTTCCTCCAGCCCTCTTCAAATTCGGGGGACCTGCTCTTGTGGATGATTTATACGAGGTATTAGTGAAAATGTAGAAGCAGGAAATTGTCCTAACTGACTGGAGCCGCTCCGTCATTATTCCAGTTTTCAAGGGAGGCTCACGATCGGAATGCGGCAACCATAGAGGAATCAGTCTGATCTCCATCGCCTCCAAATTGCTTGCGTCTGTAATCCTTCACAGACTGACTGCCACTTATGATAGCCATATTCGTGGAGAGCAAGTCGGGTTTCATCGGGGTCGTGGTTGCATTGACAACATCTTCACATTGTGTCAGTTGTTGGAGCACCGTCACACATATTGGCGGCCCACCGTAGTCATGTTCCTCGATATCAAAGGTGCATTCGATTCGGTGGATAGACGTGCACTTTGGGACTGCCTACTCAGGGAAAGTGTACCTGAGAAATATGTAAATATTATCCGATCATTATATGCACGTAGCTCAGGCAGAGTGAGGGTTTACGGCAAGCTGTCGTTGCTCTTTATCTTCTCCAGCGGTGTGAGACCTGGATGCCCGCTGTCACCTTTCCCCTTCAACTCCGCTATTGACAAAGTAATGAAAATCGCGTTCACAGCACACGACTTAGAAGGTGTGGATCTGCTCCCAGGGGAACGACTTCTTGACTTGGAGTAGGCTGACGACATTACCTTCATCTGTGACAGCTCACAAACGTGCCAAGCGGCACTGGACAGATTAGCGCTGGCTGTTAGTCGCTTGGGACTTGCTTTACACCATCGAAGTGTAAAGGGTACCTCCAAGTTTGGTCTGGACCGCCTCCGTCGCTGACGCTTGGTGGGAATCAGCTAGAAGTCGTTCAGAAACTCAACTACCTGAGAAGTTGTATCAGCGCCCGTGTGATTGTACATGAGTTTACGAACCGTATAGCAAAAGCTCGAGACGCATTTGCTAAACTTCACCACTTATGACGCCGGCGCGACATCACTCTGGCCCTGAAGGGTAACGTGTACAATGCAGCGGTACGTTCGACCTTACTGTACGGTTGTGAAACCTGGCCGCTTAGATCAGCGGACTAAAAGAGCCTAGTAACAATCGACCACCGGTGTCTTCTCAAGTTCGCACA